CAACAAACAAACATTTTGAAAAAAGGAATTATGTTACTATGAATTACGAATCGTGCCATATGAACGGGTTATTTGGTGTATCTAATTCATAGAGCGAACAACGTGATTGAAACTGCAATGAGAACATAGCATAAACGAAATTAAAATTTGTACAAATTATCGAGTATACGAACACTCCTAATGTAAATGTTTTTACTACGATAACCGATTATTCCTTTGTGGTATCGAACTATATAACTAATTTTGGAATTGAAAATTTTGAATGAAAAAATATTGAAATTTGTAAAAAAAAAACATGTCAGCAACCTCCGATTGTAATTGTAATAACAGAATTGTAATAACAGAACAAAAGATAAACAAATAGAAAACAAAGTGTAAACATCTGGCATATGCATGGTAGAGGAAAACAGGTAGATGAGAACATCGATATGTCAACATTTTTAAAACGTTTTTTTAACTAAGCATATTTTTATATAAAAGTATGCAAGCCTACTTATTTTTAAACAAAACCTTTAAAAAATTAACAATATCAATGAGATAGAGAATCGCACTGCTGATTTTTTAAATATTCAGGAACACCCATGGTAAAATTACAGAAGGTAGAACAAAGCTACCCCCTAAATACAATTTGTTTTCTTCTGGTGCCCCTATTCTGTCATTACATATACACAGTTTGTATATGTGTATGTATTGTTTTGAATAAAAATAAAATAATTTGAAATTATTTCAAATTCAATAAAAAAATTGCACAATTCTGGAATAACCCCAAAAATTCCGTCCATGTTTTGTTGTTTTTCTCCAATATGAGAATTTTGTTAAAAAATATAAAATAAGCAAAAGCAATTGTTGCATACCTAGATGTCTATTTGACACTATAAAGCTCCGGTACATAGTTGCATTTTTCCTAGCTTCTTGAAGTCGAGAAACCTTTCTTATTGAGCCATGGAAACACCTTGTTATTGTGCAAATGGCAAATCGCTGTCAAAAGTAGTCTTTTTGCCGACTTTATGCGGGCCTTGCAAATGATATCCATTATGTGACGAAAAAATGTAAAGATATACGTATATTGAAGAGAAATTTAATTTTTTCTCGTTTTTTTTTTTTGTTTATTCAAAAATCAAATAAACAAAGCAACTTGTTGCCGATTATTATTTATGGCAATTCTGACAGTACAATCCATACAGGTGGAACAGGTCTCACAACATTCTTAAAAATAGCTCAATTTGAAGATATTTCAAAATTTTCACACATTTCAAATGAAAGCATTAAATAAATAAATAAGCAACGGTTGTCTACACGTTAAATAGGTCTGTCTGGTTACTTTTCCTGCAGTAAAGTAAGATGGTTTTATTCCGTTTTGCATGAAAATTGTAAAAAGTAAACAGACAGAATCCCCGCAAAAACTTTCAATCGATCAGCTGATTTGTCAAAACAAAATAATATAACCTCCATAAAAAAACATGAAGTACTCAAGAATGAAAATGGTCCCGAAAAACCAAGCAATTAGGCCAAAATAAAGATATTTTAAAATTGCTTGCACTAATATAAAACGCCGGAAGGAGGAGAATAAGTGATTGCAAGAAAATAAGTTTGCTGGCAAAGATTTGCAAACTATAAAGAACTGGCTAAATTTATCTCTCGAATCGCTCTCTTTTGTAGAACTTTTGTGTTAACAGACGACTTCCAGTAATAATTTTCGACAATTGTTACAAATTTTTGGGTAGCCAGACACACCTAATATGGAGCATCTATAACGGTAAAACTGAAATTAAACGAATTATTTTTGTTATCGAATGGTGTTCTCAAATTACAAGTGAAACTGCTTCAAATTGTAAAGTATTTTTTGGAACTACGTTTCAAAATGGTGAAGATGAATTTAATTTTTGTATTGTGGTTTGTAATTTTTATAATGTCAACTACACTAACATATTGAAAATAAAATTCAAAGCATGGCCCAAAATAGGCCATGATTCAAAGTGTACGTCGAGATGGTTGTAAAATATGCCTTTTAATTTTTTTAAAGTAGTTTTAAACTATTAAAAATATTTTTCATACAATATTTGACGATTCTCTAGAAATGGGGTGGAAACACATGCGACTTCAATGTAGAAAATGGCAGAACGTGAGAATATTTAGCGATATAAAATAATTCGCATTTACTTTTAATATTTCATGTCATCATCGTTCAAGACATAAAAACAAATGAAAACATTTGTGGTATTTTTGTTGTTGCTTTCTTATTATAAGCGGATTTTTGTTTGAGAGTAAAAAGAATATGACGTAATAGGTTATGAATATAATGAATTTTTAATTAATTCAAAATATTTTTCTATACAGATACACAAGAAGAAATTCCAACAGCAAGTGTGGGAGCTTTTCCCATTGAATGACATCTAACACAAACTGTAATGAAATAGCCTAGACTCGTATTTAATTTACATATTTTTGTATGTATGTGGTCACCACTTCCGATGTCAAAAACCTCATGCTTCTGCTACAACATGCTTCTGGCAAACTCTCTGCGTTACATGCATCAAACTTTCAGTTTCGTGACTTTCTGCCACACATACTGACAAACAACCATCTGCATGTATCACTTTAACCAATTAAATTAGTTGATCTTCATATTGACCCACCCATACGAAAAAACATTAATTATTGATCGAAAATTCACTGTCACATATACGATCTCAAAAGTCTCATATGAGGCATAAATATTTCTCTGTCTACCACTACTTCTGTGCTTAGTTTAGAAATCATGAATTAAAAAAACTATTGTTTTGCGATTTTATTTTTTGTCTTCTTTATTCGTCAAGAAAAGTTTAGAATGCAACATCTAATAATTGTCTGAACAAAAAGCTAGTTCTATACCGCTACAACATCTGGTTAACCTCGGTTTAGAGAATACAAGTTCTAAACAAAAATACTGTTTGTCTTAATCAAGTGTACGTACTGCTATGTGCTATGCACATATGTATGTTAAAAAATATATTATTTTTATGCTTTTACATAAAGTTGATTCACGTTTACGTTAGTGAAAAACACACAGTCTTCTTACAAATTAAATATCCCTGAGAATAATTGTCGAAGACAGTCAAAATATTGGGGGATATGAAAAACAAATTAAAAAACGAAAACATCAACAGCTTTTTTAAGAGCTTTAGCCAAACAATCATTAGCCAATGTTATAATTCAACTGGTCACCAAAAGCTAATAACAACCAAAAACACCACAATGTTTTCTTCTAATAATACATACAAATCGTTTTTATAATTGTTTATAATATAGCCAAGTATGTATAAGTATTTCATAGATCTAATGCTAAAATTTGGTACAGAAAGATGTACTGATCCATGATTAGGCAATATTCTGTAGCCGAAGATATTTTTCCAATGTAATTTGTAACAAGTATTTATCTTGGTGTGTGTATGTGTGGTTTAATGTTCGAAACTTGTTTCCATACCGATTCGCTTTTTCAGAGAACGGAAGCTTAGAATCGAATGTGGTTTGAAGTGAACAACAAATACCACTGATGAAATGAGTCGATTTTGAGGTGTGTACTTTTATATTTGATTCATACAGTCACCATGTTTTCGGTGAATTTTCTAAAACGCACGTACATCTGGGTAATAATCTTATGGAAAATTAAATATGTAAAATATTCATGAGAAAATTTGTATTTGATTCGCTCAAAACAACCTTAATGCCTTTGGGCATCTGTTAATCTTTTGTAATACCGACCGAATCGTTAAATTTGGGAAAACTGTAACTACACCTTTTCAGAGCTCACTGTAATGTATAAAATATACTAAAATTACAAATTTCATTGATTTTTATTTCGCAAAATGCCAACAGAGTTGTGACCTTTAATAGGTAGGAATTCCGGTATTTGAAACTGCTCAGGACTATATGTTTCAATAAAGAGACCGTCACTAATTTTAGAGACTAAAAACAATTTAGCATTGAACATACAACTTCCATTGTGGCAATTTTTGAATTACTTACAATTTCGGCGATGAGTGACATATGTCGGTAAGTAGGGGATGAAAATAAAGATGTCAATAATAACTAACAATAGAAACAACATTCACTTTTTAAATGATTACCGATTTTTGTCAGTCAAGTTTAAATCGACCTTTAAACATTTTGCCTATTTACAATAAGTCTTCATAAACAAGGATTATTCACTTGATCTTAATGTATCAAATTTACTGAACATTTTGTTGCAGAATGTAGCTAGAAATATGAAGGGAAATTGGCTAAGGATTAGCAAAGATCAGTCGTGCCCAAACATTTGTTTGCCACACTGACGCAGGTTAATTCAAATAATGCTAATGAATTACTCACCGAACATAGAATATTGAAGAGGAATAGAGTATATTTAACCATTGTCATTCCGCAACTCATTTTGATGCAATTTGTTTACAACTGAAAATTAAAACAATCAATATAATTTTAATTTTTTTTTTTGTCTAAAATAACGTGTTTTTATTTAACGAATCATTAACGAGAGTGTGTGTGGTGTGGTAATGGTTTTTTCTATACATTTCTTAAATGGTATTAGGAAACTAAAATGTTAAGATTTGTCATTTTACTTTTGTTTGCTATAGACACAATTAATTGACACGTTAGTTTTAAGCAAACAATGTTGAGGTCGAATAATGTTTTTATAAGGTCAACAGCCTTATCGATATGCGGTTTTCAGTGTGTAAAATGATTAAAACACTCGGGACCTTCGCTTTTCGATTAACAGCATAAAAACTTTAGTCAAGGACATTCATCCATATTTTTAAAAATTAAATTCAAAAATTCTCATTTTTTTAATTTTTTTCGTACCCAAAAACAATCAAATAAATATTTTAACAAATTAAATGCGTTGCCGCAGAACATAGTCATTTTTTATATCGTCAATCCACCAATCTGTTTTTACCAAAAAACTTTCTTAATGAATCGGTTTTAAAAATAAGGCTTAAGCATATAATAACATATTTTTTTGAATATGCCATTTGTCGAATTTAAATCTGAAATCTTATAAATTAGAAGCTACATATAATGCATTGCTGTTTCTACATAGTTTCACTAACGAACTAATTCGGGCAATAACTTCTCCTTGGGCAACAACGAAGACTTCATCTCATAGAACTTTTTCCATAACCATGGGACGCTGGCAACCTTGAGCAATAAAGCTTCACGACTATGTGTAGATGCTTCAACTTTTGACAAATGCTGATAGTACTTGGCATTCTTCTTTATGCTCCCATTAGCATCTTGGTCATAGCGTGCAAAACGTAGCTTTAAGAGAGTCTCTGAAATGTCAAGCAGACGATTACCCTTGGGCGGATGCACCAAACACAATTGTGAGACAACATATTCATCCGAGGCCTTTTTGTTCAGTGGTACAAATGTGGCCTCTTTTCCAATTAGACATTGCTGCAACCAGGCAAAACCGTTTCCATTTACCTTCACACCAGGCAATTTAATTGGTAGCAAACGTTTGTTGCTCATAAAGAATGGAATAAGTGGACGATGGCTGATGTATAGTAGAGTGTCGCTGCCTTTTTGTTGAATGTCTGCTATGCGTCCAGTATGCATGACACGTTCGTTGATTAAGCGATCCGGGATGTGGGAAGGCTTTTTGAAGGGACGCACTAGGTATGCCGGTTTGCGCTTGGCATAAGCTACCAATAACATTAGACTTGATGTACCGTAGATCAGGACCTCTGTGCCAAGTGTTTCGCGTTCCATGAGATTGCATAAGTTTTGATACTTTTCGCTGAGGAAAGATGTTGTTTTGTCCATATTAGAGGATTTTTTCGTTCCTTATCACAGAATTGAAAAGTTTGATAATTGTGGTCGTGTCGATGGGTCAGTTTTGTTCAGCCTCACTGCGGCTAGTCTTTTATATTGGTTTCTTTTTAAGTACACTTTTTGTATATTTCAGTTCTTTTTGTCCGTGATATAACCTATAAAATTGAGACACCGATTAGAATTGGACATTAGCTGAGGTAAGGCAATTATAGCATATTTGAATTTGTTTAGCAAGCAGGAGGAGGAGATGACATCATAGTCTTTTTAATAAGCAAGATCGATATGTCTTCTCCAAATCTTAGGAGATTGTGACAAGGCAGTTAGATGATTGGTGCTTTCGTTAATGTTGCGGCTGCTTTTGCTTTTTGGTTCGTCTACGTATGTATGGACTTTTATCTGGCCGATCGTTACTCAATAAAATATATATACAAATGATAGAGTATTTTTTTTTATACGACTCTTTCAACGTTCAACTTTGTCCACTAAATTTTTGTGTTTTTGAACTTTCACTGACATTCGGTTCGGCTGGTTTGGTTTTATGTTTTATTTATAAATATTGTTTTGCCCCACCTCCTATGTGTTTGACATTTATTTCGTGTTGTGCTTTAGTGTTTTGCTTCGTTCATCTTCAAAACAAAAACAAGTTTTCCTCTCTCTCCCTGCTCCCAGCATGGACCTTTATTCACATTTTAAGCTTAAAGCTCTCGCATCAGTAAAAACCATTAACAACTACACACACACTCTACTGGCTTTCGTAAGGTTGGTTATTTTGAAAAATTTTCAGATTTTAATTTTAAACATTCCGATCAAACAATACCTTGTGTTTGGTTTCACTGAAACTATTCAATCCGAAACACTCTTGCCTTTGTTTCTACAAGCGTTATTGCCGAGCGTTTAACACGTCTAAACCAGCGTGATGTTCGTTACAAACTAACTGCCTCGATCGAAGTGTTAACTTTGTGTTTGGGCCAGTGAGGCAGTGTGGCGGATACAGCCAGCAATAATTTTGAATTGTTGTTTGTCAATTCAATTCATTCAGTTTTTGCTTTTGGCGCTAGTTTGCGTTGCTCTCAGCATCGCATTCTCAATTCATCAGCTCCTAAGAGCAACTACAATACACCAAAAACTTATTAATTCACCGTAATTTAAATTATTACGAACTTTTCTCTGTGACGATATAGGTGTGTGTGTATGTAACATGGAGTCTTAGAAGAGAATTAGTTGAGCAAAAATACAGCTAATATCGCTGATCAAACATCTATCTATTTTTCTGCTCAATTAACAATATCATGGATAAGACTAGGCCAACGACTTGGATGATTGTTAATATGAAAATTAATAGTAAATAATATCTTAATGAATGTAGTAGTGGACACGTTAGGGTGTATGGGATAAGAGTCTAATTGAAATTACTGTCTGAATGATATGTGATAAAAATTGAAATTAGTACGTAAATGATTTTTGGACCAAGATATCGAAACGGATAGAGTTCCGATTAGCATAAATTCTGTCAAGTTTAGATCAAATTGATTCAGACATAGCTATAGCTCCCACAATATATGTTTTATACGATTTTAAATCTAAGCCTCTTTAATTTCATAATATGCACTCTATGACAATAAAGGACCACAACGGAAATCAGTAGGAACAGCCATATTAGATTTTAAATCTAAGCCCCTTCAATGACATAATATGCACATAAATGTGTATACTTTTTTTCGAGGTGTCACAAACGGAATAACAAAATTAGTATCTAATGGTGGAATTTATAATAAATCTATCGGTATAAATCCTTACGGATGCACGGAATATACATATTTTGATACGGTCAAAAATATGTCGCCGGATATAACTTTGGAGGAAATCCTGAGTTTCAAGTAGATTTAACCATAAATCTTGACTTGGTTAACACTTTTAACTTTGTGTTCGAAGATAAACACACTAATAAACAAAACTGTATTATTAGCTTCTAACATTTGTCTCCCAAATACGCTTTGTGACATCATATTGCTTGTTGATTCATACCGCAAGTATAGGCTATTTTGCCTTCACGGTCACTATTTAAACTTATAGTGACCTCGTGATTTGAAATTCTGAGAGGGAGAGAGCATGAGAGAGATATATTGGCGCCTTAATTATTCTTGCTTTCAAATAACGAAATAAAATATTTATGTTTGTCTTTCAAGCAATAACATTACACGATGCTGAGCAAATTATTGAATGTAATTACATGAGGATGGAATTTTAACAAACGGACAATTTTTATATTTGCGTATTTATGTACTTGTTAACGCACATCTCAGCTGTTGCTTCCAGGGTTTCAATTCCAAAGTCATAATATCGGACTGAGAATTTTAGAAAAGTTGGTAAATAAAATGCATCGCACTTTTTTTAAATAAAATAATTAATCGCCTATTACATTGGCATTAGCCATAAATACACCAAAATGTTTTGTTTACCAACGAAATTTTCTATGATTTACTAACTATTCGTCCACATCCAATACATTGGATGTACATATATATTTTGTTTAGTGACAATATTTAACCTGTTTGTGCTGATCAATGTAGCCATAGAACCGCACTGGTAAACCTAGATCTTGACATTTTTTCCGCGTCCTTTCTCTTCTACAACACAACTTTTTGGGTTGGGCACAATCAATTAGTCTTCATCCAAAACTTTAACATAACCAACTCTAATACTAGAATCTGGGACACATTTTCATTTTATTTCTATATAACATTCCGTTTAATAAAGAAGTTATTTTCAATCATTTATTTCTAGTTCATATTGGAAATATATCAATTGTACGAAATTAATATCTCTTAATGTAGTTAATTTATACATGAAGTCAAAATCTTTAATTTTTTCACAAAAATCATTATTTACATTTAAATAGCATCGAATTAATTCGCAATTCACCAGCTTCAATGGAAATATGATGCATCTACACTTATGCAAATGTAGACAAATACCATAAACTAAATTAATTTTTACCCACATTAATATTTTAAACGTTGTGAAAATACAATGACTATATAGTTTGTCATCTAGAATAAAAAACACAAAGTATTTAGCTACTTTAGCTAAAACATGCGGCGTGGATAATGCATAGGTTGTTGGGGTTGTTGCCCAGGTTGCCCCGGCATAACTGTTATCTGTTGTTGACGTGACATTTGAGTTTCGTGACCAACCGGCCCACGTCCTGGTGCATATCCTTGAATGCCCGATCCAGGTTTTGTACTCTGCAAAAAGTGTTTAAAATGACGTTAATAAGGCCTAAAAAATAATACAATAAAAATATAATTACTTGTGGAGGTGGTGCACCACCACTTATTTGCATCACATTTGGATGCAAAGGCAAATTCGGTATATAGACAACACTTTCAGATAATTGATGTGTCGGCTGTGGACCACCGTGTGAGTCATGTTTTACTTCTACATGATATCGATCCGAAATTTTTTCCATTGTTATTTGAGGCTTTTGCGATTGAATACTGCTATTCACGCCTCCTCCAGGCTGTGAACTGGGGGGTTGGTCTAGGTTTATGTGATATACTTGAGTTGGTTTTTGTCCCGGCGCGTCTGACTTTGGTCCAGGCATACTAGAACCCGGAGGTAATTCTAAATGATAGCCTTGTCGTAGTGGCAAATTGTAAGGTGCATAGATAATTGCCGGTCCTCTAGAATCTGGGGGAGCTTGTTGAGGTGGTGGAGGTGCATTGCTTGCTGTCTGATAGAAAAGCGTCCCAGGTGTCGGATATTCTGCAAAAAAATGATTTTAGTTAAAAAGCATGTAAAATGTTGTCCATTAATTGCATTAATAAAAATCTTACTGTTCCACAACACTCTGGCGGAATCTGCTCCACGACGTTCATCGTGTTCTGAAAAATGTATAGTACAGGAATGAAATGGTGTAAAAGTACATGTTGTAGATTACACGTGATAACTTACTTGGAGGATTATAGTTCGTTTGCTTATAGTATCCCTGCTGCGTTGGAGACGGACTTCTTCCACGCTTTACTGGAGGATTGTTTGGCGGCTATTAATTAAGACAAACTATTTAGTAGCTTTTTATGAATATTCTGAAGGGGCTACTCACTTTTGTCAGTACAGGAATTTGTTGATGATGCTGCACTCTTGCGGGAGGCAAGAACACCTGCTGCTGGGGCGCACTGGTGGTTTGAGCTTGCAAGGCTTGCATAGCATACATTGTCTCATTGTCCTTCTGCTGTTTCTTTCGATTTTCATCTTCGTCTAAGACTTTCTTCAGCTGTAGAGACAGTTTCTCTTTCTGATTATGCAGCTCAGTTAGTTTCTGTTCCAGTTTGGTGATCTGACCACGAGTCTCCTCTAGGGTTATATCGTTCTCCCTTTCGCGTGCCTCGCGTTCTTTACGCTGCCTACTCTCCTCTAGTTTTGCCTCGAACTCTTTTGGATTCCAAGCGCAATAAAAAAGGCGTAAATGAAAATTAAATTAAACACAAATCGAATAAGTTTTAATACAATGATTTTACCTTCTTTTTTCCTCTGCCTTTCCTTCAGAATAAAAGATTTTAAGGCTCCACGTAGTTTCTCTTCCCTCTCTGCAGCCTTGGCCTGCACTGCCGCCGCGTTCGTGGCACTATTGGACCCCGAAGCGGGCGGCATTTTGGAGTTAAACTTCTTTTCCGTAATTTTGACGATTTTGTCAACAAATTTATAAAGAAAAATATTAAATTCTTCAGCTTTTAGCAGACGACGAAGCAGAGCGATTTTTTTCGACGGCGGTATAACATGTGTGAAACAATTGACGGCGACACGCTGTGTCTACTCTACACGGTTGACACCGTTTGTAGAATTCTACCAAAATCGGTAAATTTTTTATTTTTGGGAACCTTTTTAACAACGCTACCAAAATGCAATTGACCAAAATAATAATAATAATAATAATAAAATGCAATTGACAATCATATGTTTCTTGCTTTTTTCCATTTATACGTTTGACATATTGGATTTAGTAAATGAGTCCACCGCCCTTGTTTTGCCAGGGTAGTTGGCTTAATTTAACTCTATTACCTATATTTGTAACTCTATTAAATGTGTTATTAGTTAATGTCAAATGGTCCATATGTAAAAGTATTACACGATGCGTTCAGCTGGACGACATTTCAGTGGTGAAATACATAAGTACATATGTGAATTTTCGATCACAGTAAGAACTATTTTCATCGGAAAAATATAATTTTAGCAAGTGTTTTTTATTGTGAAAATACATAAAATATAAATGAGTATTTTTTGAAAAAATTGAAAACATATGATAGCATTTCTTTATCCCCTTGCTAACAACCAGGAATGAAGTAGCGCGCACGTTTCAATAAGAAGGTAGAACAGCTTTTTAAAACTCATGGTAAAATGAAGAGGTAAAGTCTTTTCAAATAAGCATATCCACCTCTTTATTTTCTGTAATTTAACTTTTAACATTTCACTACATAAAAACTGGTTCCCATCTCTGATTTGTGAATGTACAATGGATTTATAAATACAAATTTTGACAAAAATTGTAAACATATGATTGCATGACTTTACATTCTTAATTCTACCATGGTAAAAACATGGTACAATTAGGAGGTAGAACAGCTTCGTAAAACTACTGAAATACAGCCCTGAAGCTATGCCCGATTCCTGCCAGAATTATTCAAAATTATAGGCAACAAGTTGTTTTCATTTGTTTGAGATTTTTGTTAATTTTTAAAATGAAACAAATAGCGCGAAAGGTGAATGAAATGACTGGATTTTCTTTCAAAAGTATGATCCTATGTGTTGAATCTTTCAATTCCGTGGCAAATCTGGTTAATATCATTAATGCGCGCCCCCCTATTTAAGATTCTTCCAATCATTGATTTAAGAAAAAAAAAAATGTTTTTATTTTTCAAAACAATTAATGCTAAAACGAAAATTGGCAGCAGTTGGGCACAATCAGAACAAATTGTAAACGGCTAGTAACATTACCTTAAATTTTTATTGTACTATGGTAGTATGTATGGTAGAAGAATACAGGTAGACGCATCAATACAGTTGATGGTACAATGAACTGTCAAACCAAAAAAAATGCAACTCTGTACTAGAGTCTTATTGCGTCCAATGGACATTTAAACATTCAACAATTGGTATCGTTTGTTTTACATTTCTTTTATAAAATGTTTATATTGAGGAAAATCCCACAAAACATGAATGGCATGTTAGGGTTATTCCACAAAACTGAATCCAAAATAGAAGAAAAATATTGTTTTATCCCAAAATTGTACAGTTTGTTGCCCAATAATACCGAAAATATGAATTTCTGTTGCAACTGAATTTGAAATAATTTCAAATTTTTTTTCTTTATTATTGATAACAATACACACACATATAAAAATATGTATACGTTAGGAGGTAGCTTTGTTCTACCTTCTGTAGTTGTGCATTGGTACAATTGATTAGAGTCAGTAGGTGGGAAATTTTTGAAAGGTGAATTTATTCTACCTCTGGTTATAGTACCATGCGAACAAAATTACTTGTGGAAATTGTGTTATTTCCTAATCATACAAACGTTATCGAAAGCTTTTCTCATATCATACCATATAAATGTAAGCAAAAACAAAAGGTAAAGCTTTGTTTATTTCACAACAATCGCAAACAAAACAAACACTCCAAACAAAATCGTACAAAAGTTATCTCCAAAATTTAGTCTGATATTTAACTCCGAACAGAGAAAACAGTAACGCTTAAATTAAAAAAATGGAGCGTTGGCAGGATTGTGTCGCTGTTGTAACAGGTGCGAGTTCAGGCATTGGAGAAGCGATTGTTAAAGATCTTTTAAAAGCTAAGGAAAATATCATAGTAGTCGGTCTAGCACGTCGCCTGGAACGCATGGAGGATTATAAGGCAAAATTGCAAAGTGATCAAAAATCGAGATTTCATCCATTAGAATGTGATGTTTCAAGTAAAGCTTCTGTTGATCAGGCTTTTGATCATATCATTTGTCAGTTGGGCAGAGTTGACATTTTAGTCAACAATGCGGGAATTTTTAAATTAGGCCAGCTAAGCACAATAGATGCTGAAATACCACAGCAGGTGCTACAAACAAATGTAATGGGGGTGTTCTATTGTACACAACGAGCTTTTAAATCGATGAGGGAACGTCAGTTTGATGGTCATGTAGTTATTATAAATAGCAATTTAGGGCACAAGATTCCATCGAGTGGCGATCAACCGCCATACATGAATATGTATGGTCCAAGCAAATATGCTGTTACAGCAATGACCGAGTTGTACCGCCAAGAATTTAAAGGTCTCGGAACGAAAATTAAGATAACGGTACGTCATTACTCCGATAAAAGTTGTAAATTAATTAATTACACATTACAATATCTATTTCAGAGTATTAGTCCCGGTCTAACGGCTACGGAAATTGTGCCTGAAGAATATCGTAGTGGAAAGTATCCTATAATGCAACCTGAGGATATTTCGTCTTGTGTCATGTTTACATTGTCCACGCCAGCTCGTATGCAAATACATGAAATGCTTGTTGAACCGAATGGAGCACCTTAATCAAATATATATTGCGAATTGTTTAAGGCGTATTTTTATTGACCAGAATATTAGGCCACATTGATATTATAAAAATAGTTCAATCGAGATATATTTGTCACTTATTGATATGCATTTTATACCAAAGAAATATATCAGTTACTTTACATACAAGAATCTTTAACTTGTGCAACATTTTACTCAAAACGAAAAAGCAGCACCATTCTAAGGAGAAACATCAAGTGTAAACCCTCTCCTTTTAAGAAATCATTACTACTACTGATTATTATTAAATTATTATTATTATTACTGATTACAATTATTTTCTAAGTGTGAACGACTTCTGTCAATTTTGTGTGTGTATTTATTGTTTTGAAAAACTAAATATTTTTAAAATCATTGATTGGAAGACAAGTAAATTGCGAGACACGCATTAAAACTATTCGCTAGTTTTGCCATGGAATTGAAAGATAGAACTGTTTAGATTATAATTTTGAAAGAAAATCCAGACATTTCATTCATTTTCCCGCTGTTTAACTGATTCTAAAAATGAAAAGAACTTGTTACATGCAAATTTTACAGAAAACGGGCATAACCTCAGGGCTGTATTTCTGTTGTTTTACGAGCTGTTCCACCTCCTTATTGTACCATGTATACTTGTCTATTATTAATCAGTATAATATATATTTTTAAATATTCATGAAAACTAATGCCAATTCTTCAAAATTATGCAATGCGCATTTAACAAAATTGTAAAACTTAACAGTTGGATGAATTTTAAAAATTATCAATTTCTGCAACGTATTTTGTTAGTAGATTTTAAGATATGGACCTTTTTTGTTGTCCCAAAGTACGACAAGCTTGGAGTTAAATATTCGGTATTGAATTGTCTATTAAATCGGGTATGTGCAAAGAACATTTCTCCCCATTTTATATAATTAAAGGAGCTATTACCTAATGCTCAGTCATGCCCTTATTTCAGTTTGGTTAAATTACAAATTGAAGAGTAGTATGTGTATGATATGTTACCATAAAGATGTTATTAATATTACCATAAAGATGTTATTAATACCTAGCCAATGTATAACTGAAATCGAGTCCTTTGACACGGATTATTCTAATTTTGAAGAAGTTGAGATTCTAAATAACGAAGAAATAAAGAAGAAAGAAATGGATACTCAAACAGTTATATTGCAATTTTATTTGATTTTAAAATACAGATAGTTATTCCAACAAAGTGTAAAATTTTGGAAATGTCTCTTAAGATGAATCTCAAATGAACTAATTGACCACCTTAATTATATTACATCACTTCATTTAGCTAATATGCCGAGCTACCAGATAATTTGTTGAATCTGCTGAATTTAGAGCCTTACACGCTGTAAGGCAATTTGTGAAAATAGCACATCTGTTATACCCGTGCTCTATCGTAATTTCCAGAGCTTTCTTGCAGCAAAAAGTTCTCCAAACAATGACGAGGCCTTGAACACAATTTTGACTTAAAGGAATTTGATTCGCAAATTCTTTTTTATTTTTGTATAAAGCATTTTGAATTCAGCAATCCAGACGCGCTGCTGCCAAATTGCTAGTTTCATTTAAATATGAACTGTCCGATAAGCAAATGGTCAGATCATATTTTATATTTTAACGAAAAGTTTACTGAATTCCTGTTGCCAACTTTTGAATTGCAAACTTTATTTTTGACCCTTTTTCTGTTTCTGGTTTCCATTTGATTATCCATTTTCGTTTCAGACTATGTCGAATTTGACATAGGACGTAGTTCCGCTTAATAATGTCGCTAAAATCATCAAAAACCCGACTATCGGGATTTACCGTTATATGGAGGCTATACGCATTTATATGAAATTTGAAACATTTCCGGTGAATAATGTCGCTTAAATCAGTAAAATATCGAAAAAAGGGAGGTACCATTATATGGGGCTATACCAAAACGTGGACCTATACCACCCATTTTCAATATCAAAAGTCCTGCAGACATAATACACAATTGAGTAAAATTTTATCAACCTACTTCATTTTGTTCGAAAGCCAGAGTGATTTCCACAGACGGGCGACATAGAATTCTATGCTGATCATATATACTTTGTGGGGTCTAAAATGTATATTTCGAGGTGTTACAAACGGAACGACAAACTTAATATACCCTCCTTACTACGGTGGAAGGTATAAAAATACTAATTGTTGCATTAGGTATGAAGGTTTTTAAAATATTCTAAGTATCGGGAAATAAGCGTTACCAATTGTGGTAGAATTCTACCAACTATGGCATGCACCAATTGCTCTGTTCCATTACCTACAAGAATCTACTAGTTTTGCAAGTTTTTACGATTTCATAAAGTGAAAATCGGTTATCGTAGTAAGAACTTTTACATTCTTGCAGTTCTGAAACAGACCAAATATTGTCCTCTATTCTGGGCTCAATTTTGTAAAATAATCCCAACATTTCATTTATGTTCCATTGTTATTCCCTTAATAAAGAATTTTATGAAAATTTTTAAAATATAAAACCAAGTGTTGAATGTTTATTTGACACAATAAGACTCCAGTACCGAGTTGCATTTTCCTAGTTTCTTTGAAGTTGAACAACTTTTCTTATTGAGCCATGGATTTGTATATCACTGTCTTTACACGGTGGCATTTTTACATGGCATTTTTATCAATTCTCTTTTAAAATTTCTGCGTAAATCTTCGCGCCTTTACACGGTGGCATTTTATGCTTGGCATTTTTCTGACATTTTATTTTATTCAGTATTTCGTATAGAGCTGTATTGTTGTGCTAATTGTTTGTAACAGATATTTATAAGGAAGTGATTTAAAATTAAATGTGTGAATCTAAAGAATAAATGATGGAAAACGTTATTGTCGATCTGGTCCACATATTTATTAAAATTATTAACTTTTGTTTTCATTTTTTTTTTACTTTTTAAAACTTCCAATTAATTTTCATATAATTCACTATACAATTCAATCACTAAACACATCACATCACAATAAAAGAAATGCATCAAAAATTACAATAAAGAAACGATATAAAATGTCAAAATCATAAGAAATTCGGAAGAAGCAAAAAGAGAAATGCAAAGAAAATGGCATGTAACCCTGTGCGGTGGCTTATCGTGCCATTCTTCTATCCTTGTCTCTCTACACCTTTTACCAAAAAAAAAAAAATGGCATGGTTAAAAAATGTCACCGTGTAAAGGCAGTGTTGGTTCTCCTTTCGGGGTTTTTATGTTATGCATTTTTTAACACTTTTTATAAATTTGAATAATATTTTATTCAAAAATTTTAATTCCAAATTTGGTTTGACAGTTCATTGTCCCAGCAGCTGTGTAGATGCGACAACCCGCATTCTTCTACCATGATAAAACGTCCTAAGCACAAAATGTCAAACTTGTAACAATTTTGTTGAAAAATGTGCCTAAGATCAAATAATTTCGGACATAACAAGCGTATGACCAAATTAAAAAGAGGTAAATCTATGCAGATGTAATGTTCACAATTTCATAACTATTTTTTTCAAATATGTAGTTAGATATATTTATTTGCTTCATTATTTCTTACAATGTATTCATTAAAATATCCGACAACAACTACTTCATCGTCTGCTCGAATTAAACTTAACATACGTCCAAACGTATTTCCACAAAATTTCCATTTTATTGCATATTCATGACAATCTGTTATTGGAAAAAAATGCAAAAATTTATCCATGGCAAAACAATAGAGGTAAACTCATTTCGATGTGATGTTAGTTATTGTGTAGGCCTCAAATGAGGTTTTACTTTACATTCGACTTTTGGGATCAAACCCGCAGAATTGCCAACTGAAAAATGTTGCCAAAATCTTCACAATATCCGCTGCATAAAATGAAATAAATGAAAAACTGTTGCCAGCCTACATCCATATTTAAGGAAAAACTAAGAAATATAAATTTGACAATGAAGAGACATAAAAGAAAAAAATAATCTTAAAATATGATCTTATGATAGCATGAGATTAGCTTGTTAATTGTACCATGAATTTATCTTTACTTTTCACATTTCAAATTTTTTTGTATATATTTTCCTTGAATATGGGCATACAGTTGGCAAGAAATTTAAATTTTTTCGACCAAATACTTCCTCATTTTCTCGCCTTTTAGAAAATATAAGAGAACGAAAAATACAATCTAAAACAGACAACGTAAATATTAGCCTTATAAATAATTAAAGATTTGGTTAAAAAATTATCGAATTTTGCTTCAAAGTATAACTTTGCGGAATCTAGAATAATTATGAAGATCGACAATATCACTCCTAGAATTTCCCGAGTTTTCAATTGAATTGGCCTTAATTTCATTGCACAAAATTGTCAGTGTCCATAGTAGGTTGGTGAAGATTTTGCCAACATTCATTCAACTGGTTTTGATCCTTAAAAACAGATCAAAAATCAGATCATGGTACAATAAAAATGTAAGAAGCAACCAGCTAATTACAACTTTTTTCTAAGTGTGCCCGACTTCTGCCAATTTTGTGTATTTATTGTTTTGAAAAATAGTAACAAAATATTGGAAGAAACTTAAATTGCGGGGCTGGCATTAATGATATTAACCAGTTTTGCCACGGAATGAACACTTAGCATCATATTTTTGAGAGATCATCCAGGCATTTCATTCATCTTTCGCGCTATTTGACTCATTTTAAAAATGAACAAAAACATCAAATGAATAAAAACTTGTTGGATATAATTTTAAACAATTCTGACAGGAAGCGGGCATAGCTTCAGAGCTGTATTTGTGTAGTTTTACAAAGCTGTTCTACCTCCTTATTGTACCATGCGTAATTCGAGGACGACACAGGAAATTACAGCACCAAGAAATTTTCCGTAAGTTGAAGTGTTTAAAATCTCTACTTCTGCATGGTTAGTCTCATGACGCAATAATACAAGGTAATCTTATGCTAACATATGATATTAAATTTTTTAATAATATTTCATGGACAACATCCAACTTTCAAAATTAAAAATTTAAATTTCCTTGTTCAAAATGTACGATATGTAAAAAAATTATAAATTTTCTTTTACCGATAAAATGATCCAATGGAAATGGAAGATGAGTTCCATGGCACAATTAAAATTGGCATAGTAGAAGAAGGTAGTCGGATCTGTACGGCTGCTGAGACAAGCTGTCAAATCAATTTTGGAATTGAAAATGTTGAATGAAAAATTATTTAAATTTGTAAAATTTGTTAAAAAACGCGAATTATAATAGCCTCCGAATGACGTAGTACAAAAAAAATATATATAAAAATCTACGTATATTTGAAAAATATTTTTTGACATATCAATGCTCCCAAGCGTTGATGAATCTACCTGTATTCTTCTGCCATGGAACTGTCAAGCCAATTTTGGAATTGATATTTTCCAATGAAAAATTTTTCAAATTTGAAAAATTATTAAAAACTCATATTATAACAATTTCTGATTGGCGTCGTAAAGGAAAACATATAAAAATCTAATTATTTTTGAAAAACGTTCAAAAAATTTTGACTTATTACTGTTTTATTGCTTTGCCATGCGATGACATAAGCCAGTAAAAAACCGCTTTATAATATCAATCATTCATTTTGGAATGAAAACAACTAAGTAATATTAGGAAATCGTTATTGTGGAGAATACGTGACGTTTCATTCATTCTTCTTAAATAGAAATATTGGTAGAAAAGTACCAAATAAAGGAAACTTTTTTTTTGCATTTCACGGAGTTTTGTTTTGTTTCTTAAATTTAGTTAATCTGTCATACCTGTGTAATTATTCTACCATGAGTACAGCTCATGGTAGAAGAATACAGGTAGTCGCATCGACACAGCTGCTGGAACAATGAACTGTCGAACCGATTTTGAAATTTAAAATGTTGAATGAAAAATTATTGAAATTTGTAAAGATTGTAGAAAAATGCATTTTATAGCAACCGAATTGAGTCGTATAAGAAAACTTCCAAAAATCTACTTATTTTTGAAAAAATATTCAAAAATGTTGACATATCAATGTTCCCAAGCGTTAATGAATCTACCTATATTCTTCTACCATGGTGCAGCTATGGTACAATATGGAGGTAATACAGCTTCGTAAAACTACTAAAATACGGTATTTAGGTTATGCCCACTTTCGGTCGGTATTATTCAAAATTATATAAAACAAGTTCTTTTAATTAATTAATGGTCTGTTCCATTAGACACTTGCAAGTTCTGGAACAGTGCATAAGTACTTATCCCCATACTTAAAATAAGTTAAACACATAGAAGAATTATTTTTTTTCCTCTCTTTCTACACATTTCAAATAATAATATCCATCTCTGCATATTCTGCAATTTAGCTTGTCAAATTTCACTGCATAATAAAAGATTCCTATCTTCGATTTGTGTATATATTGTATTTATGAATATACATTTTGACAATGAAATATTGTCCAATGGATAGTTTTGAGCATGACTTAACTTTTTTTTCCTTTTTTTATAAAACATTGAATACAAATACAAAATTGCACGAACTACAACGGGAGCCCCAGGTAACGTGTCCAGCCCGAGAACAGGAATTTGAAATCGACTATGAATAGTCGAGTACTCGGTTTCCACCCAAGTCCATAGTCGAGTTCGGCAAACGGTAGTAGCAGCTAGTTCCGCGCTCTTTAGTGAAGATGTTCAATTTTCTCATGTCTCATTCGTAAACAACAGAGTACCCGGGCGTAATGCTAGGAACACAATTGGAGCGAACGACGAATTTCGCCCTACGCGGCGACAAAATGAGCCGCGAAAATTCGTCGTATGGAACACAATACCGACGAAATTATAAAACAGCTGATTAAGTTGTTTACTTTTTGCTCATTTGTTGACTACAATGAATTATACAAGAACACATAATTCTTTACGTTCTCTATTATAATTTCACTTATGTCCATCTTCTCTATTATAAATTCACTGATATCCATCTTCACTCAGGCGCAAGTACACAAATAAATAAACAAATTAATTATGTTTTTTTATACGAGTAACAGATAGTAGAGTGACCATAACAAATTTTAAAGTAAAAAGTAACTTTATTTACTAAAACACATAAAATTCGTACAAGTATGGCCACCTTGTACTGTTTTGTTCGCCGGTCGCCGGCGTATGAAATAGAAATAAAGCTAATTGAGTTCGCGGCGACCGACGAAATTTTCGCCGGTGCCGTGATTGTGTGCACCTCCATATACACATATGTGTTTTATTTTTGACGACGAACATACGCCGCGAAAAAATTCGTCGTTCGCTCCAATTGTGTTCCTAGCATTATGCATTACCAGAGTACCCCGAGTCTTTGCTTTCTGTTTATTTTTTATCAGGTATTCCTTTATGGCCTTCATATTCGTTTCGTTGGGACGTTTTTCATTTTTGTGTCCAACGCTCGTAACGAACAACCAACCACGCTTGAAGCAAAGACAAATCAACTCCTGAACAACTTGGTTGGAATTGGATTGCCATTTGTTGGACAGGTAGCGTATTTGTAAATAAATATTGAAAATATGTTTTATTAATTACGATTTTCTTTAGTTCCTGCAGTCCTGGTACAGTCCAAATGTGTCGCACAATCGATTATGAATTCTCGATTAATCGGTTTTCCCCACAGTCCATTATCGATTACGAATATTAGAACTTTGAGTACTAAAAGTGGATTAATCGACAAATCAAAAATCGAGTTGGTTCTCCCTAAATGAGATACAGTATAGTTCGTTTTGTTCGAGTAAATATGTAAGAAGTTTAAAGTGACATTTTGACAATTTCCGAATTTCTGTGTGAAATCAATAAAGAAACCTTGTCGCAACACCAAAAATTGCGATGTAAAATTGATAGAATTGCAAGTGAAAAGTGAAATTTTCTAAAAGTATTGATACAGTTTTTCATATTATACATAAAGAAGCGGCCGAAGGAAAAACAGGAATATTTTTTGTCGACTGTGACAAGTTTTATACTTTGCAAACCGAAATAATTATCATAAATGCCAAGAAATTTATTACAAAGAAGTGATTCATAAAGTATAAAAAATTCTTCAACCACAAAACAAATGCAAGTTAACCAAAATTATAATTATACAACGAGGATAGAATTATAGGGCGAATAAGAGATATAGATATTTAGATAAACAAAACGCAATTGAAGTGCATTTCAGTTCATTACGGAAATTTTGTTGCTCAAACTCTAAGAAAGGAGAACATAAAACAGAAACTCGAAAACATAAATAATCCAACACCAAACAAATGCAGTAAAAAGTGTAAAAAGTCTCGACAAACAAGAACAGCAGACAGACAACAGACAAGTGATCATCCAGCCAGCTAGAAGACACTAGGAAACAGCAAACAATGGCGAGTAAGTACAAAAAAAAAAAAAAAAAAAAAACATTCCAGACAAGCAAATCATAACCCCTTCCCCATGGAATTTCGGAGTTTGTGTTTTGCTTACATTTCTCCAATTCCTCCAATTAACACGGCTGTTGGCCGGTAGAAACGTACTCACATAAACAAACAGAATACAAAATCTCATATACACAAATCACATTACATCCAACATGGAGGAGTTTAGATTTGGTGTTATCTTTCCTCCCTCTAAATCTTGGGGATGAGACACAATATTTATGATGTTTATTCACCCAGGTAATGTAAACAACAGACATACTGAGCTATTCAAAATCTAAATATATAGTTTGCATTGAGTTTGTAAAAAGACCAAAAAGTTAAAAACAATATCTAATTGGATAGAAATTGTATGTACTTTCGATTGTTGGTCGGCTCATTTTTGTTTACAGCTTTTTGTTTTATAGTGTTCGAGTGTTTTCACAAACTACCTTTAGAAGTCTTCTTTCTGGCTGTGTGTCTTTGTTAAAGGCTATTGGGAAAATCAATACTGCTCCACGTACACATGTATGCGGACGCGATTCTGAGTGTATTGTAGTGGCCATTTAATTGTGGTACACGTTTTGCGTATTTTCCGACACAGTCATCAAGTGTAATGTATATTCAGGAGGAGGCTAAGTATTTGCCTGCAAATAAACAGGAAAATTCGCCACCCCATTGAATTCTACATGTTTTCAAGTGGCAGAGATTTCGCAGTCCGCCCTCATAAACCTCCAGCTTGGCATTTCTATTCACTTCACAGCTCTTACAACTCATTATGATTGCTTGTTTGCCCCTTTTGTAAAGGATTCGTTTCTTCCCCATTTTTTTTGTTATGAGAATGTCTGTCTACCTATGGCTCCCTCCATCATGGATGGCTTGAGTTGAGTTTTTCTTTTTTTTTTTTCCATATAAACAATGTCGATTAACACAGATTTGCGTATCACCGCAAACATATAGAGATAGAAATACGAAGTCGTAATGTGTGCGTTCAAACAATGCTAAGAAATCTTTACACAGATTTTGTTGATGCTATTATTTACTTTGATTCTAATGGAGATACAAAAACAAGACAGCTTTTGATAGCACAGGGTGAAATAAAAAACATGCAACAAAGTTAAACGCCATAGTTTTTACATTTTTTTAATTTTATTGAATGAAAGCAAAAAAAAGCCGGAAATAGCATCAAATTTTAGAATAAGCTTAGATTTGTTCGAATTGGTCACCCTTGTCACGAATTATGGCTTTCAAACGGCCAATAAAACCGTTACACGCTGCCCGAATTTTGCTCTGCGGTATTTTGGCCCATTCTGGGCGAAGCGCTTGCTTGAGGTGATCGACACTTTGGTATTTTTTTTCAAAATACTCCAGACATAATAGTCCAACGGATTGGTGGTGCTGAGTCCTGTTGGAATGTCCAAGGTCTGCGGCCAAAATATTTGCGTGCCCAAGGCTTTAATACACCCTCCAGAATATTTTCGTGATAATATTTGTCATTTATTCTGATACCACGGTCGATTAATACGAGCGGAGAGCGACCATCGGTTGTTATGGCGGCCCACACAATCACCCTCGCCGGCGCTTGAGTTCTGGTGTCTGGTGGCCAACCGAAGGTGCACATTTTCAGCTGACCTCTTTGGCAAGTAAACACTATCATTTTGTTTGTTTACAACAATGAATGTTTTCTCATCGGAGAAAACCAAATTCGGCAGTTCACCACTTTCGGCCAAGCGAAGCAACCAACTCTTTAGCTCTTTTGAATCTATTTTCCTTCTGTTGCGGTGTAAGTTTTTGCACTTTTTGGAATTTAATTTTTCAATATTTGTCGAATGGAATATTGCGATATGTTCAGCTCACGAGACATTTTGCGACACGGTTTTCGATCAAGTCGCTTCTTTACTTTTCGAACCGTTTCTGCTGTTGCTGTTTTCTTCCATTCACTCCCTTGACGTCGGGCTACGCTACCAGTATCACGATAACGAGCGATGGTACGAGACACAAAAGATTTATTTACATTTAAATGCTGGAGTACGCTAACGGTGGCCACTTGTGGTTTTCTCGCCAAATCTAAAGAAATCACACTATCACGCTTGAAATCCATCACGAATAACTTTTTTTCTGGAAAATTCTCACCAAAATGCTTTTGTACGTTTGTAAATAATATAAAGAGCTGTCACTGGAATAATTTTAACAGCTGTTGGACGAGTGGCTTAGAAATGACAGCAGCCTGAAGTTGGTTGCAGTTTTTTTCATCTCACCCTGTATTTCTTTGATACACAAAAGTCGCGAACATTTATTTTCACAGAATATATCAAGGACTTACAGTAATATTTTGATGGAATTTCCCAAAACATACCTATTACATGTGCACTGAGGTTTAGAATATAATATTTGTAGTTCGACTTAACACATGGTCACTCTGCGATTCTGTTACAAAGCGGGAGAAACCTCGTGAAAGTATAACCATGCATCGATATCGAGCAACTTAATATCAAGAGGAGGACGAACGCTTAAACAGCATCCAACCAAAGGCCGCCAACCCAGTCCTTGTAGCATATGAATATTTAAGGAAGAATAGAACGGGGTCAGGGGTTTGTTACCATATCATTGAATCGCTTTGCAAGTTGGTGATTAACATATATCTGCTGGTTAAAAAAAAAAACAGCCATATCATTATTAAAAATTTTTCAAATTTTTTTGTTCCATGATATTGCAACATTACTAGAAAAGTAGGCGCCAAATGAAGTAGTACGATGAGGATTTAAATTGAGATATGAGTGTCGAATGTGCCACACGGAATTGTTAGTTTCCTTTTCGAGGGTGCCGAGCATTATACTCGACTTAGAAAACATTTTTATTTTCTGGAATTCCATTTGTTTCTTGTTTTTAGTTTGTTGATGTCATCATGAACAGTTTATGTATGACAAAGTGTTATTTTTAGTATATAAAAGTTAATATTTTTAACATTTTAGACATATCATTTTTACTCAACACCTTATGAACGGCATTGGCGACTGCTAAATCGAGTTTTATTAGAGGGCGTTTCTTTATCCACACATTATTAAGTCCATTCCAGTGGATTACTCGACATTTCTCATAAAACCTTTTTTATTTTTGCTGAGCTATTTTGATTATTCAGCTAATGTAAGTCAGCGGTCATTATTCGATAGCGGATAATTTTAAAATGGTCCTAATCTGCGTGAAATGAACGAATACCTAAACGAACATTGTAAATTGTAAGACAAAATTCTAATAACATTTTGTTACAGTTATAATATAAAGGAAAATGGGGAATATATTCAAAACACAACGTGGGTACATAACTTGGGGTTGATTTTAATTTCTGTTTGGTGGTTTGGGTTTTCTTGATTATCTGAGCATCAAAGTTTATCAGTAAAAATACGTTTTTTGGCTTTGGCCTTATGCTACAAAAAAAAATCATTTTATGCCATCGCACGAACAGTTGATTTTACATAGACCTCCCCACATTTCTCCCTTCGTTTGCCGGACAATAGAATCGCACACAAAGGACCAATTAATGTGAAGCAACAAACATAATATGATTTCAGGGTGGTAATAGCCAAAGGAGCAACCCAAACCATATTGAACAAGTTACACAACTTTAAGAAAACATATGATTTTGTATGTTTGTTGTGCGGAAATTTGTAGAAAATGTTTTAAAAGCATGTTTCGATTGAGGTAATGTTTTTTACCATCTCAATACTGTAATTAGCTTATATAACTTTTTCTGATCGCATTAACATTTTTGTACAAAATTTCATTTGATTAATCTGCTTTGTGGAATGTGTTAAAAGTTCTTTTGAAATCGCAGAACCCTGAATATTCAAATATCCTATAACTATTTTACTAGGGATATATTTTGACGAAATGTTGTCGCCGCCTATATCATCGTTTTCTTACTCTTTGTGTCTCCCTTCTGTGAAAGAAAGGAAAAACAATAAACGGCAAATAACAATAAAATGGCAGAGATATGAGCACACTGCACCAGTGTGCTTCTGGTGCTGCTACTGTCTACGATTATGCCAACACAACAACCAGTCAGCTAGCCAGCCTGCCTGGCTGACTGACTACCTTCCTTTACAGTGATAACTTTGCTATCGGTGGAATTCTTTCCGTCTGTTGTCAAATGCTATCCAATTTTCCCCATTCTACGCTTTGCCTATTTTGCGTTTGCTGCTGTATTTACACATAAACAACGTAGTGTAAAGTATGACGACGATGATGATGTTTTGCTTGCCTAGTGGATGGGGGTGGCACCGGCGGCCTGTGATGGTGGTGGATTGACATTGCCTGCCGGGAACTTGAATATTAAAGTATCAGGGAAAATGGTGTAATAAAAGCACGTCGACTCACACACCAAACGTAACTGAAGAAGTAATGTCTGGAAAAATGTCACTTAGTAACACATGATGTACGCTGCTGGGTTATCTATCCCCTTAACAATTTTCTGCGGGAAAAGTGGGCGCTTGTGCAAAATCAGTAACAGATGTTCGCTATTACATTTATTATGTAGCGATGTTGTCGATACGTCTGTTCATTTGTGAGATTTGGCCAAATGGGATAATATATTAATGGACAAAATACCTATGCTTTTGTTTGTAAATATTTGAACAAATGAAAATATTTTCTTGGTTGATCAAACAAACAAATATTTTTTTATCTGTACATAAATTATCTTCGGGCTGGGGCCGCATTATATTATTCCCTCCATCAGGAAGAAAAAATATTTCCAAATCTGTTGAAGTATGATTATTACAGTTGATGTGGTAAATAAATGTCCGATATTTAGAATGGCTTCGCACGATGACTCTCGAAGGGAGTATTCGATTTGGTACAAAGTTGGTACATCGTAATATTTTTGTCAAACTTAGATCGAGTTCGGAGATGGGCAATATCGGTCCACTCCTTCGGTACCTCCCCCACAAATGGTCGAAATTTTCAAAAAATATATATTTT